GGGAAAGGTCTATCCCAAAGTCATAGGCAAGGTAGTAATTGGGTAAAGATAAGTAACTATTTTGAATCTTGACTAATGCCCTAATAAAGAGGCCTGTTACTCCCTTTTCCCCTTCTGCCACGTGAAGGCACAGAGGAGACCCATCTATGAAGAACAGGCCTCGATAGACACTGAATCTGCTGTCACCTTGGTCTTGGACTTCTCAGCCTCCAGAACTGTGAGCAATAAATTAACACTGTTCATAAATCACCTAGTGTAAGGGATTTTCTTATAGTATCTCCGATAGGCTAAGACAACCCACTGGATGATTTTGGTATTTTGTGTCCTTTATGTAAGGCCTGGAGTGATTGAAGTCCAAGAAAGGAGCTCTTCACTGTGCCTTATGCTTCTTTCTTCACACATTCATTCATTCAGCAGTGCTGGATGGTAAAAGGGAATTAGGGAAGGTCATATCATGGGTTCTGACCATTTGGTGTTAATTCATTCTGCAAATATTTACTAATACCTGCTGGCCCCCCAGGGTGTAGATATGGGAACCTTGACTATAAACCGAGGAGATCTTTCTTTATTCAACTGTTCAGTCTTAGCTTGTATTAGGGCGGCCGCCTTCACAGTGGTCCCTTGGAAAGCTGGAGACGCATTCCAAGGAGGCAGCTGGTGCCCAGAATGTCTTTGGAAACTCCTATTTTAGAATTACCTTCAGATCCAATTTATAAACCAGGGAGAAAATCAGTTTCAGCACTTTTCAATTATTTCTCTTTCTCTATTTTGCTTTTTTTAGCAAGAAATGAAAATCTCCCCCCATACACTTACACACACACACACACACACACACACACACACACACACACACCACATACACATACACAGACACATACAAATCTACCAGATAAAGCTACTTGACTATTAAAAACAACAATCAATTCATCTCTGAGATGCTTGGAAAGCACAGGCTTTAGCAATGGACACACCTGAGTCTGACCCTGGAGTCTACCTGGCCTGTCTATGTAATCACAGCCAAATGACCCAACCTTTTCAAGTTTTAATTTATTGTCTTTAAAACAGATATGACAATTGACCCTGTAGCATTGCCATGAGGATTAGAGATGACATACTTGTGAGATCTAATGTAGCACCCAGCACAGAGACAAAGTTCAGCAGATAATTTTGTGGTTTCTAGCTCCCAGGTGAGGGACTTGTAGAATTTTACAAACATTTTGGACATGTTTGGCAGGCCTGTCCCAGAGCTCAGGCTCTACACACACTGGATGGGTGACACCAGCAGACTGGCTAAGGCACAGCATGGCAGTATCCTCGTTTTCTTATTATATCTCGGAGCACCATATAACTTAAAAGGTCTTCTCATCCAGTGCCCCCACTTACAGGGGTATGGTCGGGGAGGACTGGAGATCCCCAGAGGGAGTAGTGACAGCCAGCATCAGTCCCTTGAGGCAGCAGGCAGAACTGATAGGAATCTGCAGGTCTCAAGATTGTCATAAGATCTGGGCTCAAGGCTCAGGTATCCCAGGCCCCCAAAGGCAGGGCCTCATCACTACCTCTCAATATTCCAGTTTCAGTTTGCTCAGCAAAGGTTGGACAGTGGATACAGCTGCTGGAAGAAGCACATGGTGGCTTCCCATATAGCCTTCCTCTTCCCCGGGGCTAGTTTACTCTTTGCCAAGCTCAGAACCATCATGCAGGAAGTCATTTACTTTCTCAACAAACTTCTACAGGGAGTGTCTTCTCACGTACTCATAAAACCAGCTCCACTCTGAAAGACTGGCAGCTACCATCCCATTGGATAGATTAGATGGGGATACCAAGTCTCGCCCAAGCTTACATATACAAGTCTCCCACCAGGCTGAGCTGCCTACAACACACGAGGAAGCCACACTCTTCAGAGGATCAGCCTTCACCATCCCCTCTCCAGCCTCACAGCCAAAGGAAATAATGTCTCTACAAGTACAAAATCACCAAGAAATAAAAATTTAAGCCCTAAAGGAAGTATACAGCAGAATAACAGATACCTAGACAGAAGTCTAAAGAAACAGTACCAGTGTCAAGAAGAGCACATCCTTCACTTAGAGGCAGGCAGATGGGCTCTGCTCCTTATTAGCCATGTGACCTTGGGCAAGTCATCAACCTTTCTGGGTGCCCACCTTAGAAAGCTATACGGTTGCTGTGGGAATTCAGTGAAATGGAAACGCATGTGGAGCTTCCTGCAGGGTGCCTGGCACGTGGAATTGATTAGAATCATCCTATGGAATGTCAGGGCTGGAAGGGGCTTGAAAGATGACCTAATCCTGGTGTCTCATTTCAGAGACAGAGAAAACAGGGCCCAGAGAGAGGAACTGACTTGTCCAAGGTCACATGGCAAAGTCATGGTGATGCTAGGTCTGGCACTTTCAGTTTATTTTGAAATGAAAGATCAAAACCTACCAATAGACCTGACCTTCCAAGCTAGGCAAGATCAGTTACCAGCCTTCCAGTTTTTCAGGGGTTCCTCCAGGCCCTGAAGTCCCCAAGCTAAATCTTTCTTTCTCTGATTAAGAAGCAAAACTGCTTATTCCCAGAAAAAAAAATATATATATATATGTCTATAAAAATTTTTTGTAACACCAAATTAAAACTAAAATCTCAGACCTTAACAGAAAGTGACTCTTTTAAGCCTTTTTCTATCCTTCCTCTCTCACTGCCCCCCCAAACCAAATATTTTGCAATAATAGTAATGCTTCGAGGAAAGAAAAAATAAAAATCTGATGCACTTAACAGATATTTCGGTACAATAATGCATCACAGATGTTCATATCAAACTGTGCATGCGCGCATGCAATTTTACTGAGTAGGCTGTTGCATTTCTAACTTTGAGTTTGGGGATCTTTAATGACCCCATCTGCCCAGGTTCTTAATCCCACCTTTTCCAGGTTAGCCCACGTCTGCCCAAGGGGTTGGAGGAGGGATTTCATCACCTCAGTCCAAAATGATAACAGGACAAATTGGCCAGTCAGGCACTCCGGCAGGTGGTGAAGGGTGTGTAGATTAGGGAGCCAAGAGGAGACCTGGTTTCTTTTGTTTGGAACTTGCTTTCTGCAGCCCTAGTGAGAGGCTGGACCCCAGAACAATTTGAAGAGCCGGCCTAGGCTGGAGATGGGATGGGTACGTTTTTGAAATAGAAATTGGAGTCTGTTTGATCTTCAAACATGGGCTTTGGAGACTGTCAGCGGGCTCCTTGCCGGCCGATGAATGGCTCTCAGGAACTTTTCCTAAAACATAACCTTACACACTTCCCAGCAAATGTTTTCAACCTAGCAGAGCCGTCATTTGGTTGTACAGCAGCATTTCCAGACCCCAAAGAAAAGATAGTTTTGTTGTTTTAAGAGAGACAGATTAAAGCCAGGGGCTGTTTAAGCAGAGTACTGGAGGGCTCCCCTCAGCCCTCGCTGGATTCCTCTGTGGTTGGTACAAAGAGGGTGTTGAGAATGATGGTGGATCCCCCGCCTCCCCAGCCTAAAAAAGATATAAGGCCAGACAGGAGGCCTCTGAGCAGAGAGGCCCCCCACAMACCTGCCTCCAAAATGAGATGGGCGGTGAGCGCTGGGGGCCCCAACACAGATAATATCAGCTCCCGAGGCTGGCAAGGGAAAAGTCACTTCAGAGGGAGAGAGCCGCTATGTTCAGAGGAATCGACACTGGGCCAGAGAATACGCAGGATTTTCCCCCGTGGAGAAGGAGTCAGGCGTAGTCAGAACCCTGCGGGGCGTGACTAACTGCCCCAATATTCCTGCCACCGGGCCCCTCTGGGTAAGGACTCCACAATTATGGGAGAGCCAGCAGGAGAACCGACAAACCCGCCTTTCATTTGGCCGGCAAATCAATCTGGCTTCTTACCTCCCTGGGGACAATATTGCATTTCCCCTGGAAAAACAAAGGCCAGAGATCTCGGAAAGGGGGATCGGTTTCTGCCATGGTTTCCCTGGTGAAGAGCTTGCAACATCTGAGGAGCAGCGGGCAGGTCTGATCCCAGTGGTAGATCGTGCCTGGTCCCATCATCTTGTGGTGCTGTCTCCTTAATGCCGAGCATGCACCTCTCAGGGCCTCACCGCTCTGGGGACTTTGGCCTGAACCCCCTCTTGAGGCCTCCTTGCAGGAGCCACCAGCCTGGGAGTCCCCATCCTGGGAACGACAGCCCCTTTCTCAAGGCACAGATGTGAACTCATTGTTCCCAGGGCCTCAGAGTTGAGTTTGGGGCCAGTGAGTTGCGAGTGACCTCTGCCCATAGAGAAGGCCTTTTGCTGGCTCAGGTCTCTGGCAGTCAGAGACTTTAAACCTGTTAAGCCCCTCCCCTTTCTCTGCCCCCACTCGTGAGGTTCAGAAATCAGAACTGTCAACCTTTAAGCAAACACATGTCTCTGAAATTATTAACCCCCAAAGTCTCTTTGCTGACTTTCTCCCAATCTTCAGGAAGCAGTCTCAGAGTTTAGTAAAGGCCCAGGAAATTCTGTAGTGCTTAACCTGAAACAGCAAACCAGTGCTTGTAAAGGGCAGGTCCAGGACACGTCCCCTGCCAGCCCAGCCCAGGCAYCATGTCCTCCTCTGTACAACACCACCGCTCCAGGTATTTGTCTACACAAGAGCCTCACAACAGCCTCTTGCTCTCCAGACACCATGGCTTTGGCAAAGCCTGACACAAACTGGCAACCCCCTCTTTTTGTTTTCGATCACTCTGATGCTCCCAGGGAAATTCTTTCTGCTCAGGCAAGCACAGCAAGTACAGAGTGGATATCCCCAACAGGTAACCCTGAAATACAAGCAAATGCTCTCTTACCCCAAACTCTGGCATGCACCCTTTCCTCATCCCACCAAAGCAGCCCCAGAGCCAGAAAGAAGCTCTTCCTTAGGGGAACGACCTGGCTCTGGCTGCCAGCTGGAGGGGGAAGTCGAATAGAGAAGAGGACCAAGGCACCAGGGGCTGCCAGCTCCAAGCTAGTGAGCGTGCCTACCTGGGAGAAGTTGAGCCCATTGAGTGGATGGCACTGCTCCTCCACCCGCTCCACAGCCCCTGTGCTCTTCTTCATCTTCTCGGCCTGCTGGGCCAGGTAGAGGTCCAGCACGGGCACACCACGGGAGCGCACGTCTGTCTCTGTGAGAGAGTTCACCATGAGCATCACCCACACAGGCCTCTTGCGCTCCCAGTTGCCTGCAATGGCGTTGAACAGGTAGTCTGCGTAGAGCCCCTTGCCCCGCTGAGCAGGAGTCATCCATGACGGCATCATCAGCTTCACATAGTCCAGGTGGCGCTTCAGGCGCCAGTAGAGCTCTCGGGGCAGCACATCCTGCAGGTTCTCTCCGTGCGGCAACAGCTGGCAGCTGGCCAGTGCAGAGATAGTATAGGGGTCTGTCAGGTCCAGCTCGAAGTAGACACGGGCACTGGCCTGGAAGGCCGCCTTGGAGTTGTCAGGGATGAAATCCCAAACGCGGGTGTAGGGGACATGGATGGTGCCAAACAGGTAGGCTGGGGGGTGACGCCGAATAGTCCACAGGAAAGAATTCAGGTCCCTCTGCTGCAGGAGAGGAGAGGAGAGGCAGTGAGGCTGAAGGCAGCCGAGGAGAGCCAGGCTTGGCACAGAGGAGTGGGAGGGGAGGTGGGGACAGAAGGCAAAGACTCACTTGGGCTGTGGCAAAGAGCAAGAGCTTTGGAAGCGGAAAGACCCATACTGGAATCCCGGCTTTGCCCTATCTTAGATGCATGATCTGGAGCGAATCATTTCTCTTCCCACAGACTCAGTTCCTCATCTGTAAAATGGGAGTGAGAGCAGGGGCTGTTGGGAGGATTGAAAGATACAATATATGTACATGAAGCCCTCTGAGCAGTGCCCAGCACAGAGGAAGTGGGCAATGAAGGGAAGCTCTYATTATGACCAGCTTTCACTGTGAGAGCCAAGCACTGCCACACCACCTGAGAACATTCATGCTGGGCCAAGGCAAACCTTCCCCGGTGTTTCATGTGGAAGGTGGGGAGAGGGGGACCAAGAGTCCTGCTCTGGCAAGAAGGGAGGAAGTCATATAACTTTTAAATCYAACCATTAGAAGACATATGCCAAACGCACTTTGAAAGCAGAACACCTATTAAAAATAGCACACCTATTTCAACAGCTACTTCCCATTCACCAGGGTGGATACAGTTTTCTTCTTGGAGGGCAGGTCTGGGGTGTTAGCTACTTTGCTCCAATAGCTGAGACCATAGATGAGAAAGTGCTTTAAAACCTCGCAAAGCCAAGTCAAGTCTCAATTTCTGGTTTGGGAAGAGAGGATTCCATAGAATTAATCCCAAGAAATGTACACATTCTGGGTGCTTTCCAGGCTCCTGCATCAAAAATATATACCTGGTCTTTATCCCCAATTCTGTCATCTTCTATGACCTAAGCTCCCATTAGGGTTGTGTGTGTGTGTGCAGGGGCACGCAGACCAGGGCCAGATTCAGATCAGGGTCAGTGGGCATGGGAATGTAAAGGAGACTATCATTTTCTCTCAGGCAACGCCATTCTTCCATCCCAGAAAAAATCCCTGAAGTGCTGAATGATCACTCGCAAACTTTCGGTAGACTCATAACATTTTTCTACCTGATCTGGCACAAATGAAAAGTATGTGTTGGGCAGGTAGAGGAATAGAACCTTACTTTACTAATAAGCAAAAATTGTAAATCCCAGCTTACTGGAAATAGAACGGAGTGCCCAGCCAGCTAATGTGCTCCCTGTTTCTGTACAAGTCAGTCTGTTGGAGGTGCACCTTGCCCAAGGTCAATGAATTCCCTGCTAACAGGGCAGTGAAGGAAGACCATACAACACAATTTCTTGATCTCTTGGCCTCCAATTCAGGGTTACTGCCAATGAATTAATTAACACTTAAAGAAAATCAAGAGATTCTTCATTTTGGAAAGAAAGTTAGGAGAACCAGTAACTTTTTCCACCCCCCAAAGAAATATTAGGCCAGTGTGTCCTGGCATTTACTTTTCCTCTCCTCTGGACTCTTTCCCCTTTTCGCCAAACTGGGGCACTTGGGACAGTAGGTGCTGGGGCCTGGACTGCAGAGGAAGAGAGAAGTRGGATCCAGTACCAGGAGAAAGTTTGCCTTAGGTTAGAATAGGAGGGCAGGGAGAGGGAGGGAAACTGGGGAAGAGGCAAGAGTGTGTGAATGTAAGCGCGAAAGAGTTTGGAAGGAATCTGAGAAGACAGTCAGAAATGGGCAGCAAGAATAAGGAAGGGTAAGGCCAGAATAAAAGTCAGAAAAAAAGAGAGTCCGGGGAGCGGCACACGGAGAGGAAACGTCCAAACAGGACCTAAAGTCTAGAGGAGAGCCCGAAAGTGTCAGGGAGTAGAGAAGGAATGGGAGAGAGGGAGCGCCCCATCTCAGCTCCGGCTGGGTTCCGAGCTAGAGCCAGGACAGGCAAAAGCCAGGAAGGGCGCCCAAGACTGCGCCCAGCAGGCAGAGGTAGAGCGAGCGGGCTGAGATGGGTGCGGAAGGCAGGACTCAAACAGTCGCCCCAAAGGCTGGAGTGCCCGGGCGGGCGGGAGAGTGGCGGGGCAGGCGCTCGCTCACCGATCCTGGCGGCCGGCACTGTCCTCCGTCCGGGGGCTGCGGGCGGGCGCGGGCGGTGGCGAGGAGGACGGCGAGCAGCGGACCCGCTAGGGCGGCGTGCATCCTGCCGGGGCCCGCGGGGAACCCTCCTAGGCAGCACCCCCTTAGCAGGGCGGGGAGCCCCCAGCTGGGCACTGAGGAGCCTCTGGAGCGCGGGGCTCCAGACTCGGGATGCTGGAAGCCCTCTGGGGCGTGGCTGGATGTCCCTATCAGACCTGGGGGTCCCTCTGGGGCGGGGCTCCGACTGTTGGAAGAGGGGGACCCTCTGGGGCGGGGCCCCTCACCAGGGCGCGCAGCCCTGTTGGCCGAGCCCGGGGGTTCTGAGGGCGCGCAGGGTCTTGGGGCGCGCGGAGGTCCCCGAGCTGCGTAGGGGTCCAGGGGCACGCAGGGTTCCTGGGGCAGTACCGAATCCCGGGGTGCGCAAGGCTCTCGGGTTATGCTGGGCACCCGGAGAACGCAAAGGTCCCAGGGGTGCGCGGCGCTCCAGGGGGCGCGCAGTGGGACAAGTGCGGCGGAGGGCGCGGCAGGGCGGGGGTCGGGTCTGGGGCGCCCGCTGCCCCAAGCCCGGCTCAGAGGGGCGGCGGGCGGCCGCGCGGCCGCTGCCCGGGCTCCGCCATGCTGCTCCGCGGCCGGGAGGGAGGGAGAGAGGAGGGCGGGAGAGAGGCGCGGAGACGGGCCGGGCGGGGGGCTGGGGCCGCCGGGCGGGGGGAGGGGAGGACCCGGCGCGGGGGGCGGGGGGCCGGGGCAGCGCCGGGCCGCGCCGGGCCGGGCCGGGCCGCAGAGAGTCGGGGCGAGCTCTGCGCCMGTGCGCGGCGAGGCGGGGTCTGATGGGCATGGCAGGCGCTCGCTAGCTCCCCTCTCGCTGCCGCGCTCGCTCCCTCACACACGCGCGGAGGGAGGCGAAGCCCGCAGCAGCCACTTCCCAACTTTCCAAACTTCCCAGCGCAACTTTTTCCTCTCCTCCCCAGCCCGCGCCTCCTCCCTCCCTCCTCCCTCCTCCTTCCCCTTGCCAGCTCCCTGCCGGGCTGGAGCTTCCGTGCGCCGCCGCCAGAGGGCGCCCGGGCCGAGGTCCTGTTTGGCCAACCTCGCAAGCTCAGTGGTGGACACAGACCCAGTAGGAGAGTGCTACAAATTTGTGGATGGGACATGGGCCAGTCTCTCCCAACGTGTTCGCTGATTCTGGCGGGAGTGAACGGCCAGAGGGGCAGCAGTTGGACGAGCCCTTGTAGACTAACTTAAAATGTAGCAGTCACAGGAAATCCAGAAGATGGAGGTTTACAACTTTTTATCATGACGCTGTGCCTAACACTGGCACGTGCTTCCTAGTTGCCCTGCAAACACTAACTGAATTACAATGAAATTTATAAAAGGAACAGAACAAAATCATCCTCCAAATTTCTTGGAAGCTTCCATTTAGGCAGTCATCTCCCATCTATTTCTCTGAGTCGCAGAGATCCTTGTGTGAGGTTCTGAAAGGGAAAGGCTCTGTATCCCAGGTTCTCAGGCATTCCTCTAGGAATTCAAAGAGCCTTCAAAACCAACTCCCTCTGGCTTCTTGGGAAGAAAATGCAGGCTTGGAGAAGGCCACGGGGTAAAACCAAAACTTCTGGACCATTTCTACAAAATGAGGAAACTGAGCCACAGCACATCTCTTAGTTCTATTAACACAAGAGTTTACTGACTCTTCTATCCTGTCATCATAGGTTAAAGAATGTATCTGGTGATATTGTTGCAAGCCAACTGCTGAGAAAGGAAGACAGGGACAGATATGCAAGGAGGCAATTAAAATGCAGATAATGGTGCCAGAAAACACAGAAGCACAAGGAAATGGGAACAGAGAGAAAGGGTTATTTCTAAATATTTCTAAGCACAATGACAGCCCAGAGACCCAAAGATGAGAGTCTTGAAAGATAGAGGTAGCTGAGAGAAAGAGGTGCACTAAATCTTCCAAGTAGAGGAGGAGCAGGTGCCAGGGTGTCCTGGTGTGAGTGCACAGGTGCATGCAAGGCATTGCTAACAGCTAGGTGAGGCTGGAGCAGAAGCAGTGGCTGATAAGGCTGTATCCTCCAGTCAGGACTCAAAACAGTACCCTTTGTATGTACAGGGTAATGGAAGTCACTGCGAGATTTGAAGTCAAGGGTAGTGGAGCACCTTTGTTCTTATAGGGGCTTGCGATTGGAGGGAGCAGGATGGGGGCCAGGAGCTGGGTGAGGAAGAAGGCAAAGAGTGAGGAGCCAGGGCCTGAGCTCATGCGTCCTGACTCCCAGCTCAGTGCTCTCCCCTTTCTCCATTCATGTCTCTGGGCACCAGATTGAGCATCTGAAGAATGGCCATGCTAGAAGATTGGGTGAGGAACCTGCTGGGCTGGATGGACAGAAAGGTTTCATAGAGCCCAGGATCTGTGTCACTGAGAGGAACACCAGAAGAAAAGGAAGGGGGCACTTCAGATTAGCAGGTTAAATCACATGAGCCATATGAAATCACCACTCTTATAGTCCAGAAACTGATTAATGTTGGCAATTTCATATGGTTTGACTTACTAGGTGCCCGGAGCAACCTCTGCCTCTCAGCATCTTAGCCACACACATACTTGGTGACAGATAGTGAGCAGACCAGAGTGCCCAGACAGTATGGTACCACAGCCACTGGACAGATACATGTTTCCCATACACAGCACTCTGAGAGCTGCAGCTGCAACACAAGAGAAGTCCTTGAAAAAAAAAAAAACTCTAAAACTCCCTACAAAGTCATCAGTCCCCTTCGTAAGGACAAGGTGAATTTGGGGGGAAGGGAGGACTTCATTCAACCAAAAGGGAAGCCATGGTCTTCACTGGAGAATTAGAAGACACAAAGCAGAGAGTGAATAAGCAAGAACCTGATCAAGTTAAAAGTGGTGGTGTGTGAATACATGTTGGCATTTTAAAATTCTACTTATTTTAAACAAAAGTTCCCTGGCATCTTTTTTTTTTTTCCTAGAGTTATAAACATTGTGGTGGCAGATTATCACGAGTGCTAGATATAACTCCCTCCTCCATGACCTCACGTAGTTAGTGGCTCTAACCAGAGGTAGAACAATTAACCTCTCTGTGCCTCTCTTCCTACAGCCAGCTTCTTATCCTCCACGATTTTTCTAGAGTCAATGCATACATGCTTTTAGGCTCTTCATCAGTATGGATGTTGATGTTATCAATGAGGTGAAAGAACAAGTGAGTTTTTTAATCTGAGAGAGTTGAAAACATCCATTCATACAAACACCTGAACGTAAATGTTCCTAGCAGCACTTTCCCAATAGGCAAAGGATGGAAAGGACCCATGTGTCCATCAATTGATGTATGGAAAGACATCATATTGTACACTTCAAATATATACAATATTTAATGAGGTAGATCTATATGATGGAATATTATTAGGCTATAGAATGAAAGGGTGTCCTGATACATGCTGTTACATGGGTCAGTCTCAAAAACAGTATGCTAAATAAGCCAGTCACAAGAGGATATATATCACATGAGTCCATTTCTATGAAATATCCAGAATAGGCAAATATATAGAGGCAGAAAGTAGATTACTGATTGCCTAGAGTGAGCTAGGAGGAATGGGGAGATTGAAGAGCATAGATTAAGGGCATTGGGTTTCTTTTTGAGTAGTGAAAATATTTCTAAAATGGTGATGATTGCACAATTCTGAATAAACAACAACAACCAAACTTTATATAGTAAGTTGTATGGTATGTCAATTATGTTTCCATAAACTAGTATTTAAAAAAAAAGACCAAACAATCTTGGTGCCCCAAGAGAGTACTCTTTCAGGACCATGAATCTTAGTGTTTTCAAACAAGCTTCCTCCCACCTGTTAGTGTAAAAAGCCCTGAATGATGACAAGTCCTAAGTCCTGGAGACTGGGCAGCATGGGTCATTCTGTCCCTTCTGGACCTGAGTGTGAGCTGAGACGCTTTATCATCAGTGTGAACAAGCTTGTGGGGTAGATAACCTTTAAGGGCCTCAAACCCAACCCTAGAGCTCCAAGTTCAGTAGCTATAGCCAAGGGCTTTAGACAGGATGTGAAAGGCCTGGGCTCAAGAGGGGCCTGTGGACTCAGATTCCTGACTCTTTTCCCTGGGGGCACATCCGGCCTACTTTTCCTTTTATTGCATTTTAATTGCATTGTTCAATCAGATTGGTACCAGGAATCTGTAAGCTATAACAGCCAGGGCAGGGGCAGAAGCCTTGTAGCGTAACTAAACCAACAAAGTCTGCCTCCTGAACAGATTCTGGAGCCCATGCTGCTGAAGGGCATCACTTACAGGGAGGGAGATGAAGGACTCTTCTACTTGTGATGGCCTGAGGGAGAAGATTTGCCTGAGGGCTACCCTCTTGTGGGTCCCTTGTGCTGGGACCATTGATCACTCTGGCATTTTCAAGTGGGTGTGGTCCAACTTCCAGCTCTGACTCCTCTCCCAGTCATGCCTCCTCCCACGCAGCCCCAGGCTGTCTTCCCTATCCTTGGTTGGAAATTGATTCTTGATGATTGAAGGACATGATTGCCTTGGGGAGAGGGGAGAAAGGAAGCTAACTCCAAGGCCAGGCAGAGGTCAGCAGTGCTTTAGACAGTCCGGCGGAGTGAGGGAGAGCTCCAGAAAAAAGTGTAGACACTGAGATGATTCAGAAAAGGGCATTCCTCCCGGGAGCCAGGGAATATACACTTGGTTACAGAGGTGCAAACAGGAATTAGAGTTACCTATGTAAGATGGCATTCATTAAAAACAAAATCCCACAGTGGCCCAGCACCGTGGAGGAGCGGAGGGTAGCGATCAGCCCAAGATTTTGTCCTCAGAGAATTTGCAATCCAGTTGAGAGAAAAAGATGCAAACAAACATTTTGGAAAACGTAGGGGGTTGCGGGGGGGGGGGGAGAACAACTAAGTCAGCCTTAGGAGAGAGGAGATAGGCAAAGGTCTTTAAGGATGAGTAGAAGTTGGACATGGAGGATGAGAAAAGAGAGGTCATTTCGGACAGTGGGAACAGCATGTGCAAAGGTATGAAAGTCTAAGTATTTGATCTATTTAGGGAACTGCAATCAAAGAACTAGAATTTAGGAAAACCACTGGGGATGGTCAGAAATAAGACTGCACCAGAAATGTCTCTGCATGATCTTCAGAGGAGCTAGCTTGGTTTGCATACATTGTGG